TTTTTTTTTTTTTTTTTTTTTGAGAGTGTGTTTGTTAAAGCTAGGGATGGTAAAACAGGAAAGGGCTTAGGATAGAAGAAACAATAGGAGAGAGCCTAGGCTGTGCTGCTTTGGCTCTATAGACTTTTATAGGAAAGAGGTGAGCCACGGCAGGGCTGCTGTTGGCTCACTGAAAAGTCAGAGAAAAGGGGGCCTTGGAGACAGGTTCAGGGCATAAGCCCTGAACAAGGTGCTGCTGCCCATTACTCCTCTGGTTGCAAGTCTCCTGGGGACCCTTAAAACTTAGGAAAAAACACCCCTGAGAAAGAAATGGGGAAGAAAGGCATGGGCATGCTCCAGAGGGAGCCCACCTCTCACTGATTTTTAATTTAAGTCAAATGTATTCTGGACGCCATGAAAAAGATAAACATGAGCTTTGCTCTTATCCTAGTTGGGAAGAGATGGGCACTGATTGGTTGAGAAAAGTATATGAGGTACTTTTTGTTATTCTACCATTGTATCTGTTAATAACAATCTTTTATGTAAGCATTTATTCTTTTTGCTTATCTTCTTTAACCTCTTAAGAATGAGATAACCTCCCTCAAAGCTTAATCAGTATAGGTAATAGATTACTAAACTGTCTTTTGGATTATTTCAAAGTATTTTCTGGACTATTTCCCTCAAGATATACTTAGTATTAATTATTCATTAAGGCAGATATAAAAATTTTCTGTATGGAATGTTTCTCTTTGAAATCATTTACTAAGATGATTTCCTTTGATGGAGTGCTGATTTTTTTATGATTGTTTCACATGCATACTCAAGAGTAGACTACAAAAAAACATACTCATTTTTCAATTCTTAAATTTTTTTATTGATTTTTAGAGAGGGGGAAGGAGAGGGAGAGAGAGAAAGAGACATCAATTGCCTCCTGCACACACCCCTACCGGCGATGGAGCCTGAAACCTAGACATATGCCCTGATCAGGAATTACACCTGTGACCTTTCTGTGCAGGGGACGACTCCGTGAACTGAGCCACACTGGCCAGGGCACGCAGTTTTCAATTGTTTAAGTTCTTGATCCCAAAGACCAAATCATTGTCCGAAAAAAGAAAGCAGATAAAGGGGAAAAACCTCCTAAAATGTGCCAAAGATATCAGAGCAATTAGAAAAGAAAACTCCTAATGTGAAGACAAAAATAGTAGGTTTTTTACAGAGCAAGAGAGTGGAGATTCAGTAGTAAAGGAGGATTCTAGGAAGGCCGTGAGTGATATGCTAAGAGATGTTGAAGTAAATATAAAATTCAGAATAGTTAATCACTACAGTAGGGGAGTATTTTTGTTGTTGTTAATCCTCACAAAAGGATATTTTTTCCATTGCTTTTCAGAGAGAGTAGAAAGGAGGGAGGGGGAGAGAGACATAGGAGAGAAACAATGTGAGAAAGAAACATTGATTGATTGGATTGGTTGGCTCCCACACTCTCCTGACCGGGGCTTGGAGTTGAACCTGCAACCCAGGTATGTGCCCTTGACAGGGAATAGAACCTGAGACCCTTTGGTGTGCTGGCCAGCTCTCTAAGTGCTGAGCCACACAGGCCAGGGTGGGAATACTTTTAATAATACAATTGCATTCAAGTTAATGCATGTCTTAAGTCAGAATCTCTGAAATGGGTTGATTGTAGAGAAAATACAGGAGTGGTTTCCCCCTAAATTATAAGTAATATATAAAACATTCATTTTAATTTTCATTAAAAAAGTATGTTTACTAATTATATAATCAGTTAAATATAGAAGAATCTAAATCTGTGGATTTGTTTTAACATTGATTTGATACAACAATATGTAAGTTTTGCAATATAAGTTTTGCACCTTAAAATCCAGGTGAATACTTTGACCAGTCACTTGACTAAAAACTTTCCTTTTATAAATGAGATATAATTTACATACCATATAGTTCACCCCTTTATTTTTTATTATTATTATTATTTTATATATCTTTATTGATTTCAGAGAGAGGAAAGGAGGGGGAGAGAGAGAGAGATAGAAACATCAGTGATGAGTCATTGATCGACTGCAGCCGGTAACCCGGGCATGTGCCCTGACCGGGAATCGAACCCTGATTGCCTGGATCCCAGGTGGACGCTCAACCGCTGAGCCACGCCCGGCCGGGCTAGTTCACCCCTTTAAAGTACACTATTAGGTGGGTTTTTAGTATACTCACAGGGTTGTACAACCACCATCACAATCTAATTTTAGAGCATTTCGATGCCCCTAGGAGAAACACTTACTCAGTAGCAGTCATTCCCTATCCCCCTACCCTAAGCCTAGGCAATTGTTAATCTGCTTTCTGTCTCTCTGGGTTTGCCTATTTCGGACATTTCATTTAATGGAATCATACAATATGTGGTCTTCTGTGACTGGCTTCTTTCACTTAACATACTGTTTTCAAGATTTCATATTTATAGAATTTTCTTTAAAAATGAAACAATGTCTAGCTTTACAAAAACACCTTGAGATGCAAATTCCTTTGCAGTCTGACACTGAAATAATTTAGCTAATGAGATCATATTTATGTTTCTTTTTTTTTAACAGATCAACCTTGAAATTCAGCAACAATGGAGAAGACTCAGGAAACAGTCCAAAGAATTCTTCTAGAACCCTACAAGTACTTGCTTCAGTTACCAGGTAGCAGTTCAGTTACTGTCCATACAGGGTTGTTTTTATATAGTAGTGGTCATTCAAATGCTCTTGAGATTTGGGTACCTTTTTTGGGAGGTTTTGTTATTTATGGATGCCACACTTTCCTATTCCTCACTATATAGATCAAGGAAAGCTATGCCAATTTGTACCACAGAAAGCTTCACTTACCTTCCACGTTCATGTTTTCCACCATCACACACACACTCCATTTCTTACACTGCTGGTTCCTTTAAGAGCCAAATAATAATGCATCTAAATCACATTACTTTAAAGCATAACCCCCATTATTCTTATATAAAAATGGGCCACCTGGACATGACTTCCTACAGTTACACTTGCCTAATCATGCTTATGTGTATGTACATATTTTATTTTGCTATTTTCTTAACTGTGGAAAAATGATAATAGTAAAAATTCATACATGTAACAAGTGTGAGTTCTTATAATAAAATTCATTTATAAACCAGTTACTTGGAACTTGGAATATTCTTTCTCATAGAAATAATATAAAAGGTGATAAGTTAACAACCATAAAAACCTATTTAGCCCATAATGTGGCTAAACTAATCTAGTGATTGTTCTCAACTGCGTCACAGTAAACACGTTTTCATTTGTGTTCTGAAGCGCACACCTTTCTTTGAGGGCACACCTCAGCGGTAATATGTGCATTTCTATTCTTCATGAGTCTGGGAAGGATCAGTACAGTTATCAGAACCAGAAGTGCAGAGCCTCCCTAGCTACACTTTGGAAACCACTGTGCATAGTGTCATTTTTATTATGGTAGGCCCTAATGGAGACCCCTACCAGTGTCAGTGCTTCGAAAGAGTGGAGGGAAGACATGGAGAATGCAACGAGAAAGGTGCCTGCTGTTTAAAAAACCAGGAGACTGCTTTTGAGTGTCATTTATTCAGCAGCTAATAGCTTCCTATTTCAGAGTGTTCCATTGAGAAACATAGCACTGTTTCTCCTGCTCTCTACCCATCTGTTGCTGGACTTCTTTTGTAACAAATTGGCAAACACTGGCTGGAACCAGTCATCAGTGTGACAGAGTGTAAAGCATATCTCCCACTCAACACACTCCACTACTGGGCAAAGCAAGGACTACCTACAGTTACATTTTAACGGTTATGGTTACCCTATGTAATGAACTTCTATAACATTTTTCAATCCTCATCATCTGGAAGTAATATTTAAAGCCATTAGATGACATATTTAAAAACAAGATGACCTCGATGGAAAAGTAAATTTAATTTAAAAAAAATATATGTACTGTGAGGGGGGGAAGAATCCCATAACTAACTGCTAAGGAGGGACCTGCTTTGGGGAGTAGGGGAAGACCCAGGGAGTGAGGCGGGGACTGCTCATGCACTCTGGGGATTTGCTGTGGACTCAACTGCCCAAACTGTTCCCCATTTCCCTGTCTCCATCCCTTTGGTGGATGCCCAAGGGTGTGTGGGCATGGACGGTAGGCGTGTTCGTTTGTTTTTTACCCGGGGCACTGGAAGGACACCAAACTGTTCTGCTTGTTACCTTCCCTCTATCTCCCTAACTTTTACAGTCCCTCCTGCCTGCTCCTGTCCTGCCAGGTCTACTGCCCCTCTTTTCTGGCTCCCTGCCCTTCCAGATTGACTGGTGATCTACTTTGTTTCCTTTTGTGTTTCTTTTTCTGTTTTGAATGTCTGTCTTTGCAGGTTTCTATAGCCAGAAGATGTCCTTCACTCCCAGCAGGTCCAGTGTAAATTCCCCTTCCCAGTGGGGATGTATACTGCCTTGTTTGTGGTGGTTGGTGATGGTGGTGTTTTTTAAGTGTTTGGGGTTTTTTTCCCCCCCTGCCTTTTTTTCCCTTTTATTTGGATGGAACGGGAGGAAGTGAGCACAGGGCAATGGGAAGTGGATTTTGTTAATTTTTTTAGTTCCTTTCCAGGCTTGGGAGTTGTTTTTATTTTTTCAAATATGTGTCATGAATAAAGTTGGTTTTGAAAATTAAATAAATAAAACTGTCATTAGGTAGCTCACCTTTTTTAAATATACTCTTGCATCCATGATAGAATATAACCTGAAGAAATAGGAAATTGTATTATACATAATAAACCTATTTTTCACAGAGAGCTTCAGGGTTATTAAAGTGACTCAGAAGTGGGCCAGATCATTTATTCTGCTATAAAGTTACTCTTGCTAATAAATGATTATAATTAATAATTATTGATATTAGGATTTTCTGAAATTAGTGAAGTTGATGTTTGCTTATTTGCCCTAGTGTAGGTCTCCAGGCCCTTGCAGTGGGAGGTGGAAGGTGGGGTTAGGAGTAGAGGAAGAAGAGGGGCTGTAGAGAAGGAGTTGGTAATTTTAAGGTCTTAAAAGAAAAGAGTAATTACTATTTGTTTTACTTTTGAAGGATCTATGTGGCTAGCCTCTATTAGAAACTATTGGGGACCTAAAGTATCAAGCCAGACCCTAGAATCTGGTCAGAGGAAAAAAATATTAAAACTGCAGAACCTGTAAGTTAAGCCTTAATTGTTTTCTGCGTACATTCTGAAGTGAATGGAAAATGTGGCTCCACCTTGATCGTCTGTGTTCTTCATCGTCTGAACTTGCTTTTTAAAGTGACATGGGTTACTCGCACAGTTAAGCATTATAAGTATGGCCCAGAATAGACTTTGTTAAGACTGGAAAGTAGGTCAAACATATAAAATTTGTAATTACCACCCAGCCCACGGTCACCTCAAGGGTTAGTGGGCAGAAGATGCTACTCCTTGAACCCTGAGACCCTCCTCTTAGGCTGATCGCAGGAAGTGAAACTGTCTCATCGGATGTGATGAGGGTTTGTGTATCCATTGTCTGGTGACTGGTATAGAGAAAACATAGACCGGACTTAGAAAATACTGTTTTTGTTTGCTGAAACTTTTTACATAACTATTTTCCTGAAACCTAATTGGAAATTCGAATGTGACATGTATTCACCTTGGCAGGAGGCTTATAGAGCATTTTTATTAGATGAACTGGTTGTGGTTTTTGTCTTCCATTCCTTTCTATTTGGGCTAAAATGACATGTGGTGATTACTACCCATAGACCTCTCCAGCTTTCTATGTAAGAAATAGATAACCCTGGACAACTAATGGCCCTGATGTTAAAAGGGAATACTTTGGGCTATGGTAGTCTTACTTTTTGGTAGGAGAGCAGCAGAGCTGTCCATTCTCTAAAACCTTAATTTAAAGGAATGCTAGATAATTTTTTTTTAATATGTCTTTATTGATTTCAGAGAGGGGAAGGGAGAGGGAGAGAGATAGAAATATCAATGATGAGAGCCATTGATCGGCTGCCCCCCGCAAACCCCCCTACTGGGGATTGAGCCAGCAACCTGGGCATGTGCCCTGACCGGGAATTGAACCATGATCTCCTGTATCATAGGTCAATGCTCAACCGCTGAGCCATGCCAGCCAGGTGAATGCTAGATAATTTTAAGAGATGTGAGGTAATTCAATAGCAGCGTACATTTCATTAAAAATACCTATGTTCTCTGAAATTGACAGTGCTAATTAACTGCCACTAACTAGACTGCCATACTTTTCAAAAGGAATGAATTAGATCATAATTCCTAAACCCCCATTCCATTCCAAAATTGTTGATACAAGTTAAGATGAAAGTAGTGGGTTGCTGAAGTACTTTAGAATCTCTTTTGCCTACCCTAATTTTAAGGTGGTGTGTTTTGGAATGTGAATTTTGACAGAAGGGGCCGGTAGGGGTCCAGCAGTGGAAGGCAAGCTCTACAGTGGGTAATGGATTGATGGGGATGGGTTTATCAAGTCTGATCCATTTTAGAGTAAATTTCTGAATTTCTTTTATAAGTAATAATTTTATTGCCAAGTTTTATTCTTTAATTGCAGGTAAACAAGTGAGAACCAAACTTTCACAGGCATTTAATCACTGGCTAAAAGTTCCAGAAGACAAGCTTCAGGTATCAAGGCAATTCCAACCCTTACCCACCCCTCCTTTTTTTTTTTTTTTTTTTTTTTGGGGGGGGGGAAAAAANTTTTTTTTTGCTTTGGGTAGAGAGAAAGAAACATCAGTTTGTTGTTTCACTTATTTATGCATTCATTGGTTGGTTCTTGTATGTGCCCTGGCTGGGATCAAACCCACAACCTTGGCCTATTGGGATGATGCTCTAACCAACTGAGCTACCTGTCCAGGGACTGTAACTTCATTCTTAATCCCCAAGACATTTATGACCTCACATAAAAATACTACTAACTCTTAACTTTTAAAAAAATATTTTTATTGATTTGAGAGAGAGAGGGAGAGATAGAAACGATGAGAGAGAAGCATCAAACATCCATTGGCTGCCTCCTGCATGCCCCCTGCTGGGGATCAAGCCCGAACCCGGGCATGTGCCCTGACCAGGAATTGAACCTGCAACCTCTTGGTGCATGGGTTGATACTCAACCACTGAGCCACAGTGGCTGGGCTTAATTTTGTTTAATGCTCATGCAATATATTGTTTTATATTGAGGTTGCTAAAGAATTGCTAGTTTTAAAAACTAAGACACCTGAGACTCTCATAATCTGTTAACAGTTCAAATATGAAAAAAATGAAATTTTCAATTGTCTTTTTGTTAGATTATCATTGAAGTGACAGAAATGTTGCATAATGCCAGTTTACTCATCGATGATATTGAAGACAATTCAAAACTCCGACGTGGCTTTCCAGTGGCACACAGCATCTATGGAATTCCGTCTGTCATCAATTCTGCCAATTATGTATATTTTCTTGGCCTACAGAAAGTCTTAACTCTGGATCACCCAGATGCAGTAAAGCTTTTTACCCGCCAGCTTTTGGAACTTCATCAGGGACAAGGCCTAGATATTTATTGGAGGGATAGCTACACTTGTCCCACTGAGGAAGAATATAAAGCTATGGTGCAGCAAAAGACAGGTGGGCTCTTTGGATTAGCAGTAGGTCTCATGCAGTTGTTCTCTGATTACAAAGAAGATTTAAAACCACTACTTGATACACTTGGGCTCTTTTTCCAAATTAGAGATGATTATGCTAATTTACACTCTAAAGAATACAGTGAAAACAAAAGCTTTTGTGAAGATCTAACCGAAGGAAAGTTCTCATTCCCCACTATTCATGCTATCTGGTTGAGGCCTGAAAGCACCCAGGTGCAGAATATCTTGCGCCAGAGAACTGAAAACGTAGATATCAAAAAATACTGTGTACATTATCTTGAGAATGTAGGTTCTTTTGAATATACTCGGAATACTCTTAAAGAGCTTGAATCTAAAGCCTATAAACTAATTGAGGAACTTGGTGGGAACCCTGAGCTAGTAGCTGTAATAAAGCAGTTAAGTAAAATGTTCAAAGAAGATGATTAATCTTAAGCCATTCTTGAGTAGGCCTGATAGCTTATTTTAGTTAATTATTTTTTTGTCTTTTAGCCTATCATCTTTTTAAAAATTTGAAGCAAGCTGTTTGTCTCCAAACACTGAATGGATGGGGGTGATGTGGGTGATTTCCATTTAGTGCCACTCTGTAATCACTGTACAAAACTGAAGGAATCCAGAGGAGCCACATTTAAGTGGGTCTGAGCTGAATGTCACAAAGTACTGTGAGTCCTTGTGGCCAACTCTGCCACGAATGTTCGATTGATTCTTTCAATAAAGAATTCAACTTCTACCCTCTCTGTCTTCTCTGCACTGGAAACAGCTCCCCTCATCCCCTGAAAATGTACACCTGTGCCCCCTCCTCACTGCTGAGTGGTAACGATCTACAGTGGTCAAGAACCCGAGACACTGACAGATGAGAGCCTCACCAGCTTGGCAGCCCCACGTGCCCTGACCTCATTTATTTCTAGCCACAGCGTCCAAACCAGCGCCATTTCTAGGGGCATCGACACCGCAGCCAAGTCCATTGGGGCTTGTGCTGGGGCTGGAGTAGAGACTGTGTTTGGGAGCCTTATCACTGGTCATGCCAGGAACCCTTCTGTGAGGCAGCAGCTCCCCTGTGCCATTCTGGGCTCTACCCCCTCGGGGGGCCATAGGGCTCTTGCCTGATGGTGGCATTATTCACCCTCTTTGCCATATAAAGCTGCTGCCCCACCTCCACAGTTCTTTCTCCCATGGCTTGTCTGCCCTGTGTGTTCCTTTTCGTATACCTCCCGGGGCAGCCTGGGGAAAGTGGTTGGCTCAGGGTTTGACAGAGGGACGATAAACACTGTATTAATAAGAAGAAAAAATTCAGCTTCCAGGAGTTTTTATCCAGATACTTCCTAACTATACGGTATGGGCAGTTCCTAACTCATCTACTCCAGTTCCAAGCCAGTGCTACTTGGGACCAGTTTCTATAGCTAGCTGGCCCGAAGACAATGGAAATCCCTCTTCCTAAATGTTGCTGCTTAGAGTATCAGTCTCCTCCCTGGAAGTTCCCTCACTAAAGTCTTCCACAAGAAAGCTGACAGTGAAACAGTGAGCACTCTGGGTCTTTTTCTTACACCTTTTTTTCCTTTCTCCCTACCTGGCCGACTGCTCTTTAACCAAGGAGTCTCCTTTCACATGCCAGCCCAAGTTTGTTTTTTTTCTTTCTAAAGTAACTGGTGCCCCCATACTGATGAGTGTCTGGGTACAGCAATGTCTTTCCATTTGGAAAGAAAAAAAGTACATGGAGAAGTATTTTAAGAAGGAGCCTTTAAGCCTTTTTCTATTTTCCCATTATTAGTAGTAAAAATCATAAAAGAGTTGTTTGCTCACTTCAAGGACAAAAGCAAGGGGAAATGCCCTTTTCCTTCCCACCCACTACCCCCCTTGAAGGCAGTTGGTATGTGAATGAAAGGGAACTGTAAGCACCTTTAATTTCTATGATTAAAGGAAAGAAAGTGTTAACCTGAGAGCTAGTGCCTAACTGAAAAGTAGCCAAAGGCTACACTCTCAGGCACTAATTAGCTTTACAGTGCCTTAACCCTGACTACCCCTTTTGTGTAATCTCCAGCCCCATGCTCCTAAAGCTATCTGTGGCCAAGAGGTAGGGAAAAGGCCTTGATTACTGTATTAGAAGTTTTGCTGACATCCCAAAATGAAAGTTTGTATTTCTCAGAAACATTGCATTTTGCTTGATTGGTTCTATAATGTATTATCTCAGATCTAATTACTAGTACCGGTACTTGTATGAAATTCTTACCAAAGCACTCAACCTAAATCTTTTTGAAAAGTTGGGTACTGCCTTTATTAACTTTTAAGATAATTTGAATCTTCCACTTTAATTGATACAAGGAAACCTCTTAAAATCATGGGCATTTGTGCTACACCATGGGAATTAGAATTCTATGATTATGGGCCCATAACTTAAGAAGAAAAAAGCTTCATTGTTATTCAGAAAGATCTAATGCTAACTATATAGACAAATTAAAATATTTAACTTTAAGCTAATGATTGCTTAAGTATATTATTCCTTACCTAATTAAATTAATTTTGGCCTGGTACTAGTCATGATTCTTTTGTTATTTTTTATCTTTGTCAGTGACAGAAATGCTTGACATTGAATTGGGGACTTATCAATAGTCATTTTATCTATTAAATAATCAAAAATCCATCCTTTACACTTGAACTACAGTCACAGTCATTAATACAGAAGAAACCCAAAGCATAATGAGTAGTTTAAATCTAATAAAAGGTATTAATTTATCAACTTAGGTTTAAGGTACAGTCATTTGTTTTCTTCATAAAGGAGTGTCTTGTAGTAGCCTAAGTAAGAAGTGGATTTTGTCACTTAGAAGACATGTAATTTTAAGACATTTATTTTTCACATTTTCTAGTCTATGAAGCTTCAGAAAAAAAAAAAAAAAAATTGTCAAATCAAAAGAATAAAGGCTGGTTATGGTGCCATAAATTACTTTCTGACCCCAGGAAGACTTTAACTCCATCAGCTCTTCTCTATTCCACTCTGTCAACTTCCTAACTTGACTTCCTTCCCTTCCTAACCTGTATCCTATAGTCCTTCCCTTCAGGGATCCTTTCAACAACTTTCTCAGATTGCTTCCCTCCGTTTCTTAGGCCTCTCTCATCCTGCCAATTCCCAGTCCTGGATGAATCCAACCAAACATTCTTTCCTTCTCCCATTGTTGCTGAGTGCTGCTGGGGAACATTTTTAGAACTGCTGTTGTAGCCATTGCAAGTTAACGTATTACAGTAGCTGTCCCCCACCCCCCACCCCCCTTTTTAAAGGTTAACTTTGAACTGTGTTTGTTTTTTGGGTTTTTAAAAAATATGTCTTTATTGATTTCAGAGACAGGAAGGGAGAAGGAAAGAGAAAGACAGAAACATTGATGAGAGAGTCATTGATCAGCTGCCTCCTGCACACCCCCTACCACGGATGGAGCCTGAAACCTGGGCATATGCCCTGACCAGGAATCAAATCACAATCTCCTGGATTATAGGTCGATGTTCAGCCGCTGAGTCACGCCAGCTGGGCTCCATTAGCTCCTTTTAACCAGTGTACTGAAAGGAAGGAAATGTACATTTATGAAGTACCTATTAAGTACCAGATGTTTAATGTTTTTTCTTTAAGCATTTACTGAGCAGAGCCAGGACTCTGAATATGGGTTATCATACTCTGCTCTTCTATCCAGTTGGCTCCCCATTCTATTTGCACACTTAAATGTGTTTAAAAGTTTGGAAAGCACTAGTCTATTATAATAACATACTAGTTTCCTTCCTATTATCTCTTCCCATGCCAATCTATCCTTCACTTTCCAACCAAAGTTTTCTTTCCAAAGTACGAATCTGATTGTCATTCTCATGTTTTAAATTCCCTTTGAATCCCCAATACTGCCACCTGTAAATTCCTTGGCATGATATATAATGTTTTCCAAAATCAGATCTCCACCCTTCCTACTAATACTACTCTCCCCACAAACCTTATACTCTGCTAGAAACTAGTGCTTGCATTGTTGAGACAGTCCATTTTATTTAATTTCTTGAGTGCCTATGTGCTTGAACCTTTGCTAGGCTTTGGAGATAATAAGAGCAATAGACTCCCTTAACCTCATACAGCCAACTTTTTATTGATTGATTTTAGAGAGAGAGGAAGAGACAGAGAAACATCGATTTGTTGTTCCACTTATTTATGCATTCACTGGTTGATTCTTGTATGTGCTGACTGGGAATCGAACCTGCCACCTTGACATATCAGGAGGACACTCTAACCAACTGAGCTGTCTGGCCAGGGCCATAGAGCTAATTATTAAGCAGTACTGTTAGTGCCAGAATCAGGGCCCCTAATTACTTGTTTACTTGTCTCCTTCTCCCATTGGGTTGGAAACTCTTTAAGGACAAGGACTGTGACTTATCCACCCTTGTATTCTCAATAGCGCTTAATAAAAATTTATAAATGAATAAATCTACTTTCTCTCACCTCTCAAGGGTCCCATTAAATATAATGTGTGAAAAGATATCATAAACTTCAAATGTTTGCTTTTATGTTAATGTGGTTCTTCTACCTTTAACTCTTTTTCTGATGATTCTTATTCCAAGCTCTCTTCCTTTCTGAAAGCATTATTTTAGACGGTCTCCTCTCTCAGTTTTTTATGATTACTATTATATATACCAAAAGGCTGACCTCCTCAAATTCAGGTCCTGTATCTAACTGCCTCTTCACCTGAAATAACATAATTAAAACCAGCTTATGCCTTTCTTCCTGTCCCTCTACCAACCTAAATAATGGAATGACATCACTTTCACCCCAGCCTTTTTTTTTTTGTCACCATCTTCATTTTTTACGTGACCCAGGAGTGTGTCTTTGATTTATTTCTTACCCTTGCCTCCTATATCTATCTATCCAGTCCTCCCAAGTCCTATAGCTTTGTCCTTTGTGATGTCTCTTATCTGTCCCCTGGATTTCCATTTTCACTGACATTAACTTAGAACAGGCTTTACTGCCTGTTGAAATATAGAAAAAGTCTCGATAATAGACACCACAATAATGTGAATTCAGATATAATGCCATTGGCATTTGGCTCTCCAACACCCACCACCTCTAGCTGGCTAACAGCAGACTTTCTCTGGTTACTTCATTAATCTTGTAATAATGCAACCTCACGTTCTATGTGATTGGATATACTGGACCTTACAAGTAGTATGGCATAATTTTACTACACTCTGTACTGGCTGGTAAAAAATACAAAAGTAAGTGCAATAAGCAACATTAGTAATATAAACTTTTTTTAAAATCCTTACCTGAGACATGCTTTTATTGACTTGAGAGAAACATCGATGTGAGAGTAAAACATGATTCAGTTGCCTCCTGAACACGCCCTGACTGAGGACTGAAACTGCAACCTGGGTAAGTGCCCTGACAGAACTGAACCCGAGAGAGACAGTCTGCTATACAGGATGACATTCCAACCAACTGAGCCACACCAGCCAGAACAGTAATACAAACTTTAATAACCTATTAGTTCAAGTTAATTGTATAGAATATTTATGACATTGACTAATGGGCATCTTTTCATAGAGATCTGGGAAACATCTGCAGCACTAGCCGCCGTATTGTGTACATTCTTTATAAAGCACTCTGTGCTTTACAAGAATGAGCAATTTATTGTCTTTGAATGACTTTTGTTACTATTCATGAAGAAAAATGCGTCTGAAGGTCTGATTGTTGGTATAATGAACAATGGGAGGCAT